TTGTTATTGTTGTATCTCTCACTGTTCAAATAAACCTACCATTGAAATTGTAGACTGATCATTTCTTTGTTAGTGGGCAAACTTACAACATCAGCTGGGGTTCAAATACTTTTTTCCCTGACTGTATTTTAAAGGATTCTCTTTCAGAATCAAAATCCTTCCAGGATTGATAATATATTCATTCAGCGAACTCTGGGAAGTGTAGTATGTCATATTGCATGGCAGAAAAATGCCATCAGCATAAGATCATTATATCAGACTTTGACTTTAGATTTGTTTCTTTACCTACAGCAAGAGCAGTATGAAAGCACAATTGGCTTCAAACTACCCAACTACAAAGCTGCAAAGAAGTTGTGGAAAGTTTGTGTTGAACACCATACCTTCTTCAGGTAAGAACTGGTCACTCTCCTTATTATGAGTGACACATCCCTCCCTGGCAACAGAAGTCATTCTCAGTTTCTGCCTATCCCCTTGATAATTGGCTCACCGGTCTCTGCAGCTTAATTCCTATATTGGCTCCCTGGCAGTTTAACCACTGAGGAAAGCTACACACCCATGGTACATGACCTTAGAATTAAACTTAGAAGGTTTTCTCTACTTCATGAGATAAAGGTCAGAGCTGTTGCTGTCATTGTTATTCAACAGTGCAGTTTTTAGGGAATGCCAAATTCTTTGATGTGATACGATGTCATTTCTGTTTGAACCCCTGGTGTGTGATGAAAATACCAAATAGATTAAATAATGGGTAGATGAAAATAAGTGAACACTTCTGTTCCTCAGAGTTTCAACAGTGGAGACTCCATCATCACGGCGCTTCCTTGTCTTGGGCTCAAAGTTCCGGTACAGCGGACGTACTCAGGCCCAGACCCGCCAAGCAAGTTCTATGATTGACCGTCCAGCTCCTCGCTTCACACGCTCTGCAAGCAAGAGGCTGTCCCATAACCTAGATGGAGGTATGTGCAAGTGTGTGTGAATCGTTGTTGGTATCATTCTGTCACGAGTGCATCTCGTAATAAAAGCACAGCTTCCACTCTCTGACTTGTTTCACTCTTGCAGCTGGAGATGAGACTCTCCAGTTTGTGCAACAGCTTTCAGCATCAACCGAGTCTGAGGTTGATGACTGGTCCTTGACGCTGACATCTGACAAACCTCAGCCTTCTCCTGAATTCCAAGGTACCAGGAACTGTGTGGAGCTATACCTGCGCTTTTTGGCATATTTGCAGAATTTATTTTATTCTTGTTCTCAAACAACATGGCTGCATCATGTAACATGCCCATCCATTATGGCTCATTTGCTTTAATGCTTATAAGCGTTTGAAGACATTGTCGTTCACCTTTGGCACAGCTTGTCAGCTTGTCAGGAAGATGACTTGTGACCTGTTCTGACATAATGACACCCACCTTCTACTTCCCCTGGCATTATCCCAGGGTGACTTGGGTCATTTTGAACCCTAAAAGGGAAAAAATTATGCATTTCCTTACATGCTTAACTGCACGCAGGCATTTAAAGACTTGGCTGTTGCCCTTTTTTGGCATTTTCAAAAATAGCTGCTTGGATTGCTTTCATTTGCTTGTTGCATGTATATTTATATTAGTACCTTAAACAACTGACACATTCACTACTTCTCCAGCAGCATCATTAAACTGCATAAAGGTGGAAACGTTTTATGGCCATTGTTGCCCTTTTTAACTGTTCTCATTCTGAAGGATGACAGGCATCTTTCATTCAGCTTTATACTAACCTCACTTTACTGGACTCGCAGTAATGTTGCGCTTGGCATCCTAGTTGAAAAACATGCTTGAAGCGCTGTGAAGCATTCACAGTGGCCATCATCACTCCGGCTAAACCATTACATAACTGCCATCACCTCATCATGTCTTCACAGCCAGAGGGGAGTCTGAGCAAATGTTTATTCGGCCCTGGGAGGAGGGTCAGTCTGTTCACATAGTCACAGTAACCTGGCAGGACACTGAGACTGGGCAGACTGGCTCTCAGGTCATCACCCAGTCAGTCACTGAGGAGCTGGCATCTGACACTGAGACTGGGCAGACTGGTTCTCAGGTCATCACCCAGTCAGTCACTGAGGAGCTGGCATCTGACACTGAGACTGGGCAGACTGGTTCTCAGGTCATCACCCAGTCAGTCACTGAGGAGCTGGCATCTGACACTGAGACTGGGCAGACTGGTTTTCAGGTCCTCACCCAGTAAGTCACTGAGGAGCATCACCCAGTCAGTCACTGAGGAGCTGGCATCTGATGAGCAACAACAAGGGGGAAAGGAAGATGAGGAGTGGTCTACACTACTGCATCGCCATCCTTCATTTCCCTTTGTCCCACCTTTTGATTCTGTGAAAGAGCCAGGTATCTATGCTTGTAACACCAGCCAAACTGTAACTAGTCCATTAATAGGCGGTCTGCACTCTCTGACTGTTGTACTCTGAATGCAACTGCTAAACAACATGCAATTAAATTTCATTACATTGTGGCCAGAATGCTCTCAGTATATGCTACATTATCCTTCAAGGGTTTCATAGAAACCAGACATGATTCTGCTGTTGTTGTTCAGTTGCTTTGAGATTTGTGTGGGTTTGCTCATTTGGTATGAAAGTACTGAGTGTTGTTTTTCCTGATGTTGTCAGCTAAGCTCAGCTTGGCAAAGAGGAACTCTTTTGACAGGCTTTTGCAACCAGTGTTAAAACTGCAAGATGACTGGTTCCTATACTTTGATCGAATCTTCAGCCTGTCCCCACTTGAACATGTCGACAAACCATGTGAGTTTCTTTGTGTGGAAAATAATAGCCCGCAGACATTTTTTAAATAATACTTCCGCAGCTTGCAGTATGAATCAAATTTTAGTTCCTTTCATGCTTCATAGCTTTACCTGCACCTCTGCTTTTTCCAGTCTCACCTCCAGCCCGGTTCCGGGTCCAAAAGAAGGAGGAACAGGGCATAAGTGTGGGAGAGCAGGTGCTAACCAACGAGGAGGTCACTGAGAGGCATCAGGAAAAAGTGATCTTGGTAGACAAGCTCAGGGAGGTGAATGTTTTGGAAAGGAGGCTGAGGGAAGTGAGGGGTTTTGAGGAAAAGCTCCAAGAAGTGGATGGTATGGCAGCGAGACTTCAGGAGGTAATAGAGGAAGAACTGGGAGAGGAGGAGGTTGACAAGTTAAGAAAAGAAGAGGGAGATTTGGAGCGGGAAAAACAAATACAAGTGGAACGTATAACTGAAAGAGTGGTGAAGAAATATGTTAGGAGCATAGAGACAGAAGAAGATGAAGTGGATGAGTTGGAAGAGGAAATAAAAAAGGTGTTTTTAAAAGGCTTGTTGCCTGAAGAGGGAGAGCTCAGGGTGAAGCAAGAGAGCAAAATGGTGAAAGGTGAGATTCTGTTAGATGATAGTTTGAGAGAGAAGCTACTCCAGATAGAAAAAGAATGGCAAGATGAGGTGGAAGAGAGGTTTGGCCTATGGCAAGATGAGGTGGAAGAGAGGTTTGGCCTTCCAGATGGTGTCGGCACCAGCTCTGTAGTAGCATACCAGAAGGTGGAGCATAGGACTAAGAAGGGTCTGACAACTATAGATGAGAGAGGGGAGCAGCAGGAAGATATGGAAGATGTGCTGCTACAGCCTGGTGCAATATCACAGGAGGTGTTAGAAAAACAAAAGATATGGCGTAAGACAGAATTAGTGGAGGAGAGAATGGAGAGAGAAGTACAGGAGAGATCTCTCATGGATGAGGATGTCTGGTTCATAGTGTTTGATCGCCCTCCGTACAAAGCTGCTTTCAAACCACTAGGTACAGTATGTCATTGTGTGCACAGCTCTAAAACTCTACTAATCTCTCTAATCTTGTAATCTCACTGCAGTTTCCTCATTTTCTGCATACTGTTTACATTTAGTCCACAAACCCCTCTTTAGATTCAGTGGAAAGCTGATGTCAGAAGTTACCAAGCCGCTTCTTAGCTCATTTTGATTGCCATTCTCCTATTTTTATAGCTATTATTTCACATTTATGAAAGGCCGGTCTGCGCCGAGTATAATTCTGGGTTATATTCAGGTGCCTCCAGTATCATGGAATCAACAACTATAGAACTGGCAAAAATATGGTTGATGTAGATGTAGAAAAATATGGATAGCACGGGATCAGAAGCAACTGTAGTCTTAATTTTTTTTATGTATTGTGCATTTAACACAGTGAGAAATGATTTAAAAGGTGTGCCACAGTATCGAGGATAATTTAAAGTGTTTTTCATTCATAACATTTAAAATTTTAAGTCACAGATATAAATATCATCGTTAAGAGTTGAATTAATGTGCCAAAACAACAATATTAACATATTAACCAGCTAGTTTTTGTTCGTTTGTTATAATCGACTGCTTTGTAGTTGTTTGAGCTGCTATGAGGTGTTTGTTGTTTGTGATTCTTGAGTGTGGGTGTGCGGTCTTGGTAATATTGATATCTGCCTTATAGAGTCTTTCTTTCAATTGAGAGTAAGCCCAGAATCCTGCCCTGTTTTTTGTGAGCTTTTTGGTGCTGCATGTTTGTTCCCCTGTTCAAAGATTCTGTGTCTTTACTCTGCTAGTTACCACTGTGGAACATGCTCAGGTGGATGAAGGTGAGTATTTCACCTCAAAGACTGAGATTGCGACAGTTGAGAAGAAAATAGAGAGCATAGCAGAGGAGAGACAAATAAGGGAAGAGGAAGTGTACGGTGCACCGGAGATCTCACCCTCACAGATGGTCACAGAAAGAGAGGATGACTGGTTTGTGTTGCTGGATGTTATTCTGAGAGAAACGCCTTATGTACCACCAGGTATTTCTAAAATCCCCTCTGTACTGCTTAAAAAAAACTTTGACTTTCTTGCGTTTTGTATTGTATTTTTTGTGTTAAGACAGTTTCTGCTCATATCAGTTATCTTGAAGAGACGAGACCAGATGGACGCCGAAGGCTTGGTCTCTGTGGTTGGAATTGCAGCAAGTGAGGCGATTAGAGAAGTGGTTGCTGAAAGGAGAAAGATAATAGGAGAGGCTCCAGCTCACATACAAGAAATCCCACAACAGCCAGTGACAGACAGAGATGATGACTGGTTTGAGTTGCTGGATGCTGTTCCCATAGAGACATCATATGTACCACTAGGTACTGCTAAAATCCCCCCAGTGCTTCACAGCTTTATCAAATAAAGCACTTACTGTGAGCCTTGTAGAGACTTATTCTTAAGTGTCTGAGGATTTTGCTCTCTTTTGGTTTAGTTGCTGTTGTGGAGCAAGTGTCTCCAGAAGAACGTGTCTCTGTGGTTGAAATCACAGCAGTTGAGCGGAGGGAGAGAAGAGTGGAGGTTGTTATAGAAGACGGAGAAATAAAACCAGAGCTGAGGGAAAAGCAAGTAGTTGCACTTCCACAGGCTGTGAAAGAGAGAGAAGAAGACTGGTTTGTGCTGCTGGATGTTCCCATTAGAGAACCAGCATTTGTTCCACCAGGTACTGCTAACTTTCTCCTGTGCTCCATCTCAGTCCCTCTATACACACTTGCATGGTTATTTTGCCGCTTTTATTGGCCTTGCATCTTACAATGCACATTGATTGTCTTTGTCTTCAGTTGCCATGGCCAAGTATGTTCAGCTTTATCCTGAAGTAAAGATTTCTACTGCTGTTGAAACAGTAGCAATCGAGTCCAAGAAGGAGGTTGTAGTTGAAGAGACTATGGTACAGAGAGAAGAAAAGAAGCCTCCTGTGCAAATAATTTCAAGACAACAAATATCCCAGCCAGTGAAAGAAAGAGATGATGATTGGTTTGTGCTGCTAGATGCTGTTCCCAGAGAAACTTCTTACGTGCCTCCAGGTACCCACAACCTTCAAAAGCTTTTTTTTTTTTTTCACACACATTACATCGAAGAAGCCTTTCTTACAAATGAACTGTATGTCAAGTAAACTACCAGAACTGATTTTCGTTATACGTATGAAGGTTTTGGCTGAAGTATTAATTGTGTTTGTTTTCAGTTTCATTGGCAGTATTGAGCCAAATTTATCCAAGTGTTGAACATGAAATTGAGGTGATAAGCATAGAGCAGAAGCTGCAGCAGGTCGATCGTGACCAGCTTAGACCACAGCCTCCCCAGCCACTGCTTGAGAGAGATGATGACTGGTTTGTGCTGTCTGATCCTATTCATAAAGAGCCAGCCATGCTGCCGACAGGTATTCTGTTTGCATCCTGTCAGAATTCACTCTTTTTACATTTACTTTTTGCAGATTGTTATAGTGTGTCTGCAGCTTTTGTCTGCTTTTAAAGTCAGAGCAGAGTTTTGCTCATTTTTTTTGACTCTGTTCATACCAGTTACTCCTCTTGCAATTATTCCGGATATGAAGAAGACATCTATGGCTGAGGTGACAACCACAGAGACTAGAATGTGGAAGAAGATGATAATTGGCGTGGACAGCAGGCAAGATGAGACGCGTTTGTCTGAAATTAGACCGATCCAAATTGCACCACTGGCAGAAAGAGAAGGGGGAGATGATTGGTTTGTCCTGTTTGACGTCATCCGAGAAAAGCCTGTTGTCATACCACCAGGTATCTTTTGTTGCCAAAGGTTCTGCATACACTGTACTAAAAGGCCTGGCCTGTACATGAACCTGATGCTTTTTTTGTGTGCTTTAAACCTCAAACAACTCCATCAAAAATATTAAAATAAATTTGCATTAGGTTTATTTACCTGTATGTTTGCGTATTAGTCGTTGTGGTTGAGCGTAATATCGACGTGGCTGTGTATGTATTTTACATTAGTTGCTGTGGGTGAACCTATCCGTCTGTATGCTGAAACAAGACCAGCTAGAGATTTTGCAGCCATAGAGCAGAGAGCACAGCAGAGAGTTGCTCTAGTAGAGGAGATGTGGCAGCAGGAGCAGGTGGTACAGCACAGACCACGTCCAGCAGTCAGAGAGGTTGAAGATGATTGGTTTATTCTTCTGGATGTGACCCCTAAGAAATCAGGTATAAACCGTGCATCACTTTTCGTTGACATTTGCCCTCTGCTGTTTCTCAAGGCTTAAGCAGTCATTTCGCAGTTTTTCTTATATTAGAAGTGTCCTAATATTTTGTGCTAAATTTCCACAATAATACCTGGTTATGTATTTGTGTTAGTCACTGTCTCTGAGTGCATCCAGTTCCCGGTAGAGGCCAGACACCCACCTGCTGTGGCCAAAACAAGGATTGCTATTTCTGAGATGAGACCACAGTTTGAGAAACGGATCCTGGAAGAAAGACATCCTATCCCATATACACATGTCAGTGATGACTGGTTTGCTATACTAGATGCTGGCCACAAAGAGTCAGGTATTTTTTTTCTTGTTTGGGTTTGTTTGTTACAGATTAATTGCTTACACATGATCATGGCTTCATCGCTCCATTAAACACTTACTAACATATGCAGCCTGTTTACAGGACACACTGACTTCTCTCCACAAGTGGCAGCTCACACTCACCGTTCTTCAAGGATATCTGACATTGCTATGCAGATTGAAGAAATAACGCTTTCTTAACCTCAGCTTTTCACTGGTTCATAGAGCTTTTTAGCTCTTTGCAGCCTAAAATCTTGTGCCTTTGCTTCCACCATTGGATCATAACAAGAACTAAACTGTGCTTTTGCTCTCATTCTACTGTGTGGATTTTTGCTTCTGGCCTACCTCTGGCTCTGAAGTGTGCTTTTCCTTTTTAAAAAAGACTCGACTAAGTATCTATGGTACAGTATACCCCTGCACTGTGTGCGCTCTTATCTGATCATATTGAGGCTTGAGACTGTAAGTATAATTTACATAGTTGTTTTCTTGTCTGTTACTGTGTTTATTTACTGTAAAGGCTGCTTCAATGTGCATTCCACTCACTGAGAGGATTTGATCATGTCAAACACGATCTGAATCCTTCATAAAACATATTTCCTTTTTATCCATGTTTCCATTTTGTCTATATTTTGTACAGTGGTGAGCATGCAGAGGGGCACCCGTCCTGTCAGTGCTCCGGTCTTCTCCCATGCTGCTCTGGTAGAGGCAGGGATTCCCATGGCCCCTTTTGAACAGCCCCAGACCTCTACTCCAATCAAAACCAGCCACCAGGTGGAAAGAAAACTGGAGGTCACTGTTGAAGCAGTGGAGCCCTCAAAAATTGAGGCTGTGGCTGAGGTCAAGGTATTCAATTTCTCTGATCACTCTTTTACATGTTTGTAATGTAATTTCAGCTGAAGTCTAAATGTTTATGTGCAAGAAGAATGTAGCATCAGATGTAGAACTCCTCCTAGTTGATAAAAGCTGCCAGAGTGCAGGGTGGAGATTGTTTTTTGTATCTTGAGTGTGAACTGTGCCTCTCTTGCTGCTGTAGCCAGCAGTGTGGAGGGACCAGAGAGAAGTAGACTCTTCACTTATATCCACCATCAATGGGGACATTCAGGTTAGTGCCAGACACTGGCCTCTTGCATGTGCCCCCCCCAGAAAGACACGTTACCACTATGTCTGTGAGTAGAGGATACCAACACGTGTCCCTCTCTCTATCCCTGGGGTAGCACGAGTCTGAGGTGGCGAGCACGGAGGTGATCCGAATGCGAAAGGTCAGATAATTAGCCTCGTTTGTCTCTTCGTAGTCATTTCTCCACCTCCGTTCTGATGATATCGAGCTTCTCATCAAAGGGACTAATTTCACCCTCTTCTCATGTTGTGCTTCCGTATGGCTAGGCCTTAAACGGTCGAGGTTTGAATATTTAAAGAGGTAGAAAAATGTACAAATATATAAAAAAACACTAAACAGTGAGTGACTACTGGTAATAGAGTAATGTAACTTAAATATGAAGAGATCATGCTTGCTTCAAAATGTGTGTTTACATGAGTTTAAGAGTTTTAGACGCATATGTTCCTTCTCATTGCTTGCTGTTGTCGTAAACCCTGGAATGGGCACATGCATGAGTTCTTATTAAATGCACTTTACGTAGAAGGGGCATGATAAATGGTGTTTTATCACATTCCTACCACTCCACAGTTCTTTTTTTTTTTCTCATTCAAAAATATTATCCACTAGAACTTCAGTATAACATGACAGTGTAGCTCCCATGGTCACTTGGCCCCAAACAGTTTTGCATGCAGACTCCTCATAGTTCCTCTTGTCTGTTGTATTAACACTTTAGTGAACTTTATCGTATGCATGTCCAAGGTGTGGCAGTTTGATGCCAACATACAGGAAAACTGAAACAAACCCACGCCTTTTTGTTCTTTTCATTTTTCACAGAGAAGAGCAAAGAAAATTGAGGGTGACTCAATTTATATCAGACATAGCATTTTAATGTTGGAGGTTTGTATCCCTTCTGGAGATTCTCTAGCTGTATTTTCTTGCTCTTTGGCACATTGCCTGCTGTTTTAATATCACGCTTGCATGTGGCATGACTCACACTTTTTGCATCAGCATAATGGATTGGCTGTAAATGACATAATAAATGTGTGTGGCAACATCAGTCTAATCCAGTTGTTTCAGGAGAGTGCTGTTGAACCTGCAACAAATAAGTACTGGGTTATGGTCAGTATTCTTATACTCGCATTGGTATGAACAGACCTAAGGATGCTGCACTCCCTAGCATCCTTTAGGTGTCCCTACTTATCAGCCATGTGATGTGGTTTATGAACTAAGGGGGGATGGCAAGAGCTTTTCTAGACACTTTTTAGTTTTTCATGCCAGGATTCACTAGCAGCTCCATTTGATATCATTTTTTCCAGATCATCAGTATTCTCCTGTTCCTGCTTTTGCTCTTTATTTCTCCACCGCCTTTTTTAACCTGCCAGTTATGCATTGCACATTCTTAGCAATTATGCAAATGACATCTTTTGACCATAGAATTGAAAATTGAATTAATTATACATCTGTGCTGTTATGTATGAAAGGAATGACGTTTGGAGCAACACTTGTCATTAAGTTGCTCTTGGGCACCACAATAAGTCATGATTGACACTTAACAAGCACTTGTCCATTAACGAGAACATTGTCTGTAGTGTGTTCAGAAAGACGATTGTCAGCGCTTTGCACTTGTCCATAAAGGTCAACTTGGTGCTAAATGTTGCCAAATCAGTGCTGCTACTGTTGCTTTTGTTCATTTGTGTTTAATGAACAGGTTTCCATTTATACTGAGGCTTCTTTTTTGACAAATTGTACCATGTCTGCTATCACCTCCTCTCCTGCTCCTTTATTTTTTTAATGAAATAGATCATAATGCTGTGCTGTGTAGTTAACAGCTTATACCCTTCCACAAGTAATAATCCACTTTGATAAATCGTGGCACAGGCTCCTCTGAATTTCCACTGAAAAAGAGTCTGATAGTCTGTACACTGTACAGTCATCCAGATTGACCCCCTCTAATTCATGTTTTGTTAGAATCACTAGTTAACGCTGCTTCTGCTTATTTATTTAATCAGCAATATGTCAATGCAAATTGTACATAAACAGAAGAAGAATATCTGACTTTCTTATCTCATTCTCTCTTTGTTAATCTCTCCTTCTCTCCCAACTATGAACATGTCCTTCATCCTTTTCCTCCTCATCCAACTACACTATCTATCCTCACTTCTTATCCCCCTGCCCTTTTTTCCTTACGTCACTTGTCTCTCTACTCAAACTTCCTGGTGCCCTGGTCCCTGTTTTCCCCTCTCAACTTTCCTCCATATAGGAATTCGATAAGCCACAGGATGACCTGCTCAGGCATCATGCCAGTATCAGTGAGCTGAAGAGGAACTTCATGGAAGCAGTCCCAGAGTCGAGGCCCAGCGAGTGGGACAAGCGCCTGTCCACACACTCTCCGTTCCACACCCTGGGAATCAATGGTCAACCTTTGCCCAGTGCGGATGGGGTAAGTCTTCACAGAAAACACACAGCTCTTAATATATGAAAGTCTCTCAGTTCAAGAATTGGAGGAAATCATACAAATAAAGGAAATTTCACTTGAATGAACTCATTACAATGATCAATTCCTGAACTGACTTGATTCAAGTTGCCTCATCACATTTGTCATGGTTCTACATTTACAGAGGTTATTGCACTTAAAAACACCACTGTACTAACATGAGCAGTGTGCATGAATTAGTAATGGAGCAGAAGAACGTGAAACTATAGTTTGTAACAGCATGTGTGTGAGTAATAGTTACGTCATTTTAAACATTGAATTGCTGCATAACTTTATTCGTTTTTTATGTGATGAATATAAAAAAAAACTGGCTCTTCCAGTTGTCGTTCTTGGTTCTCTGATAGTTTGCATATACAGTAATGGATTGTGTGTGCATGTACAGACCTTTTGAAGACAATAGCAGGTGGTGCATAACACATGCATGTGTATGAAGAATGCAGTTTGGCTTGTTGAATAGGGTCTGTACTATAAAAGACTAATGTGTGTGAGGCATCCTTTGGACTGGGTTCCCACACTGAGAGAGCTCACTTTGGTTTGTTGTTTGCATTGGATGCCTCTGAAGTCTGACATGTTTGTGTTGCATGACTGACAGACTGGACTTTGCAAATGTACTGCATGACTCGGAGAAGACCGCTCTCTTGAATTTTTGCACGTTCTGACACTGAACAGAGTTGACCTTTTCCCCTTTCTTCCATCCCTCCTTTTCATTGTTAAGCTTTCTTTCTGCTTTTAGTACTTTTGATGTATGCACTTTCATTTTGTGCTGTTATTTCTTTGTTTTTCTTTATGGCTGCTGCTTTCTCCAAACCTTGGTTGTTTTTTTTTCATGAAGAGACAAGGCCTCACTCACAGTTGTAGCCACGGTTTTGACCCACTCTCCCTTTACTGTAGTAAATAATAATGTAACTATCACAGGATTCCAGTATAAAACTAATACATTTGTAGCATTAAAAGTTGCATTGGAAGCTTTTAAGTGTACCAGGAACACAACGCCTATTTAGTTGAGCTGATATCACTTAAGTGTCATCTACTGAGGGTCATTTTGTGTGCATTTCAATGAAACATTAATTCAAGCGCATCGTAGTTGTTTAGACATAAACAGCTTTTACACTTGGAGATTAATGCCCCCAAGTACATCATATTGTCAGGATGCATTACAGTTGCACTGAAATCAAAGCAAATGTGCAAAGTGTTTGATGGAAGCAGTCGACAGATGCTGTTTGCAAAGTGGAATTGACACGCGTTGGCATGCACATGCTCACTTTCACAAGGTTATTTGTCTTTGTACTTGTAGTGAGAGTAAATGTGTGTTACAAGACAGAGGCTCCTACAGTTATGAATCACAGTCACAGTTTGTCATTTCAGATTTGAAACAGTTCATAGCTTTTGCTATCCATCAGCCTCCAGCCAGTACCAGTCTCATTTACCACTCATGCATAACGCCACACAGGGCATCTGCAGCAATTTAACACCCTAGAGGCCAAGATCATCCTGGCTAGACTGACTCAGCTGGCCTTAGCTTACTGACGTTTCTCCATGTCAGAAATGTAGGGAATTCAGCCTTTTTTGTTTGAGATACTACAAGTACTTTGTCTTTCCAGTATTAAGTGAAATATAGAACATGAAAATAAATGTATAAAATGCATGTGCCAGTAATATTTCTATGCTCTCAACAGCAAAAATTGCTGTCACAGTCACATTTCTAGTGTTAAAACACTTCTGGCATGCTTTAAATTTTGTATATTCAGAAGTAAGTTATTGCCCATCTCTGACTTTTACAACGTCAGTTCACTGCTGGTCATTGCAGACATTTCCCTCATCTCTCTTCCCCCCTCCTCCTCCTCCCCCCTCAGTTTGCCATCCGCCTCCCGCGCGGCCCCCTGCTAGACTTCTACTCCAAATGCAGCTGAGGGGTCATCTCAACCCTGCAGAAACCCCACACAGGTGTGAGTGTGACCCGTGGAGACCGCACCTAGTCCATCTACCCATCAACCTCTAGCTTTCTCTTCTCCTCATCCTTCCTACGCCTCCTCTGCAGCCTCACTGTAGCATTCTTCATCTCTCATCCTCTGCTCCTCTTGAGGAGCTGTTCCTTTTTTCTGGTCTTTGTGGAACAAGACTTCCATTCATTCTGTTTCCCACTGCAACACAGTTTTCCCTGGTTTGACCAGCCAGAAACAGACCTGTTCTCCAAAGACTGATTAGGACTGGAAATGACAATTAACCTGCTACTTTTTTGGGGGGATTTTCTGTGTTATTGTTTGCACTTTAAAGATACACACCAACCAACAAATATTACCTAACAACAGACTGAAGTCTGGAGGTTTTTACTGTCTGACCACGTCTCTTTGAGCCTGCTTTTATACACATTTTGAGATGCACTAATATCACCAGTTGTCTTAGTATATTGTCTTTGGATAAACTGATCACTGTGATGTGATGTCTTTTGGATATACACATTTTCTGAAACAACATTAAGTAAGTACCAGAGAACTTTAATCAAGGACTGGCATTTTAGTCTGGTTACTGGGAATATTCTTTGTCACAGTGTAGTATTTCCTGTGATGAGAGTCCTCAAGGCAGCTTAATTGTGATACTTATTAACCTCTTTGTCCTTCACCAGTATTTGGCAAGGCACTGTGTAGCAACTGCAAGAGATTTCTTGTTGCATGAATTTTTGACAATCAACTTTGACCAAAGAATAAAAGGCATTCAACACATACAGTGGTACAAATGAATGTTTGCTCCTTTCAAGAGGTTTGGACTTTAAATTTCAGATTATCTTTGAAACAAAGTATATTGTCTCTGAGTGCATACCCTAGCTGTACTAGTTGTGTGTGTCATATTTGAATTCAAACAAAAGAGAAATCTTTTTCATTCTGACAGATACTAAACTATAGGGATTGATGAAATATAACTCATACAGTTAAACCTGTAGTCATTATCTTATTTTATTTGATCTAATGTGTCATGTGGAAACGGGTAGATTGTGGTCACTGGGTTGTGCAGGGCCTACAATATGTTTTGTTAAGCTGTGGCAATCAAACCGTGTTGCTCAGCCCACCACTGTGATCCTATACATCTGTAAAATAGATTCTCTGTGAACATACTCTATACATACTGCAATATTGTTAACTCACATGCATACCTATTGATACATTTGGCTTGTATACTAATCGCGTCAGTAGGAAATACTTCACCTATAAACACATAGTGACTATGTTATGTCTTTTTTAGAGCTTGTGCAAAAGTTCCCTATGCAGTGGTTCAGAGGAAAAAGCTACACATGAGGAAACCAGCAGCACTTTGGGCTTTTTGACCAAACCCAGCTCCACTGTGAGCCACAAGAGTGATCCCCATAGTGTTGAAGCCCATGGCACTCCTCTTGAGGAAGAGTCATGTGATCAAGATGAGGTTGTAGTTTTTGAGACCACCTTGGTGCCCATCGTAGAGGTGGAGATGGCACATCTACCTCCTTCCCACGACGACTCCTGTAAGGCTTTAGCTGAAACCCAGGGGGAAGAAGAATCACACCCTGGAGTGTTGGAGTGCTCTAGGAGGATAGCTGGATCTTCCCCAGCCTCCTATTTCAGGAGCGATGGTCCGCATGTCATACGCTGCTTCCAGGTAGCCTCCTGACTCCATCAGGGCGATGCTGATTCTGTCTCTGCGTGGCCTCTGTATGATTTCAACACTGCCACCCTTTCTTACTCCTTTGCAGCACCACTTGTGAATCTGTACAGGTGGTTTATTTGTGTGGTGTGAATTATGCTCATCATAGTCAAATGTAACTCTGGTTGCTGCAAAGGTGTTGCCCAGTGCTGTTCTAAGGCCGTAACTACGGTGATGGGTGACTGTAATACCTGGACATTCTTCTCTGCCAGAAAATGTCTCTGACACTGACTTCAGTTTCATCTTCTTCCCAACCT